ATAAAAATATTTAATGTAATGGGTATAGCGGTAATGTAATTAGTTTCTTATCGAAAGTAATTTACCCAACACTGGATAGTTGTTAGCTCGTAGATCTGATGATCAAGCCAGAATTAAGTTGAGAAAGACCCTAGGCTAACAGCGGTATTTATAGTCACGATCACATCTATAGTAAATTATATGAAATGGAAAAAAACCAAGTTCGGAGGAGAGGAAATTACTAGTTTACTAGTTTCAAAAATTATATATAATAGTCTAAAGTAAATTATGGTCCATTGATACTCGGTAAATCTAACTTCGTACACACTCCCGATACCCCTAACATTTAGAAATCAGCCATCTATGCTGCAAGGCTGCACCTGAAGTAAAATCCTGGGACCGCCTATGGCTCTTTGGCATTTTCGTAATGTAAAAATAATTGACAAAATCTAAATAATTGACGTGTGCCTGAGCGTGCGGAAATGCATCGGCTGTACAAATCGAAAATAAATTGTCAACATTCGGTTCCTGGAATATATAATATAAGATGAGAAATCGAGCGCCGGCGGTGGGCACAATATTAGTGGATATTTTAAGGAATTATTATTACTGGGCGACATTAAAAAGAAAATGTCAAGCTGACTATCAAAATCAACATAATATTATGAGCTTATAAAAAACTTTTCAGTATTCATTATATTAATTAATAAATAATAATCTATAATAATAGTTATTATATTGATTATTCATATAAATCCACAGAATATCAATAATATTACACCAATACTATATTGATTATAAATATTACTATTTTTACTAGTATTTATAAGCAATGATAATACAGTTATAAATATTCCAATACAGATTTTGGCTGTATACCTTTTTAGTTTCTAGATTAGAAACAATATTTTAAGCTTGTATTCCTTTTTTTCTTAACTTCAAACAACAACTGATATCAACATTAATATTATACAAAACAACTATAACATAAGACTTATATTGACTATCACCATTATATAAATAATTAGATTTTATTTGTGAGTTCATGTAGGTAGGTATATTAAATTATAACACAATTAAACTCAATTAGAGTAGTACATAATACAATATAGGCTATAGTTGATAACATACAATTATAAAATATAACTATAAATATAAATAATTAAACAGATATTTGAGATATTTGTTTTTCTTATGTATATTATATTACAAATTTGTTTTGACATTAAAAAGTGCATAACTGGGTACCATATATGGGTTTCATAATAGGTAATTGTAAAATATTAAAATAGGTGCAGTATGTTAATGTACTATTGTAATAATATAATGTATAATAAATGTATGGAAGTAATTATTGTTTAAAACGTCGAGGTAACTCTGCTTTCCGTCATGTTTCCAATAATGAATAAATGATAGATGTAGTTGTATACGTAATTACTAATTAGTATAAAAAAATAAATAATATAATGTGTATAATTACTAATTAGTTAAAAAAAAATATATATAAAATGTGTAAAATTGCAGCTATAATTATTAGTTGGTATAATTGAAAAAATATATAATGTAATAATATGTATTATGTTTATGTAGGTGCTCTTTTGTAATGGTAAAAACATTTTTCTAAGATTCCTGGAAAAAAAAACAAATACATTACAATCTGTGCTTTAGAATTTTATTTTTCATAATATACATAACTAAGGTTATATTAAAATATTGTTTTTTACGTAATCAGACGTATTATTTCATGTTTTGCACAGACGAACTGTTATTTTGCCGAAACTCTAAGGGTTGGTACCTACACGCGAGTGTTATTTTCAATGTACGATATTTTATCGCATGTGTTTTTTATATCTATATAAAATATACTTGCAGTGGCGTATTTACGGGGGGGGGGGTCCATGGGGTCCGGACCCCCCCCCCCCCCCCCCCCCCCCCCATTGACTCGTGTCTCGTACAAGTTAAATGTTGTGCAGTTTTTACATGATTAAAAAACAAATTTTATCATACGGTTTTACGGATTTTATAAAAAATTTTCGAAGCTATAGGTAGTTATATCAACATTTTCAATAAATATTGTGATTATTTTTATCAGTTGGGTACCGAAAATGGTTGAAAAATACCAAATTCATTTTTTAATTCAAATATTTTGTAGTTTTGTACATTGCCAGTATCTACAACCAGTAACCACTCCAGAGAGCTCTTTTTCAACCTTTTTAAGGTTGAAAAGCTATCTAAGATCAACTATGAATGAAGTAGGTACCTAATGTAATTAAGGAAATATTTGTATAAAAGTTATAAGTTTATAACATATAACTATATATTCGATTCTGAGGGATCTATTGGTTCTACAATGGTATTTATTTTTTTTCCTGTATACAAAATTTCTTCCAGATGGAGTGCTTCGATTTCAACATGTATAGACATATAGTAACTTATCTTTTAGAAAATTGGATCAAGATAGTACTTTAGAGAGGTCATTTTTTCGATTTTCTCAATATTTATTTAATGCCACTGTGAAAACCATAAAAAATTACGAGAAACCGCTAAAAATGGGATTTTAATTTCTAACGCTTTGTCTATCACCATAGAAAAAAATAAAAAATAAAAGTATTTCATTATTAATTCAACTTACAGGCTATAATAAATAATAACAATATGAAATATCCAGACTGACAAACCTTCTTTGCTCAGAATCGTTTTTCTTATACAATGATATTATGATATTATATCATTGAGCTCAAGTTTAATACAATCAATTATACATTGACCCACTTGTAACCTACTGTGCCGCAGCAGAGTGACATCCACTTACCCGCTTTTTTTTAAAATTTGTTTTGTACATATTATTATTTAATAATTAAAAACTCGACAATTTTATATCGTCTTATAAATATGATATATTTTATTTAATAAAGAGTAAATGGGTGGTGTGGGGGGGCTTCGTCCCCCGTGGCTCTGTGTTCTGAAAATGATTTGGACCCTCCCCATGACAAATTCCTAAATACGCCACTGTATACTTGCGATAAAATATCGTACATTGAAAATAACGCTCGCGTGTACCGGCCCTAATAAGTCATTAGTTGTAAATTTAGAATCGCGTTGTTGGTTTGTCACTTGATCGGTCGTAATATTTTATCTATGTTTTGTTGGTTTTAGCCTTTTAGAGATTTGGAAACGTTTAGTACTTTAGTTGCGAATTTGTAAACGAATCTGTATTTAATCCCGTGTATGTGTTAATAATGTTCGGTTTTTAATTTTAATAAAATTATTGTCAAAAGTAAAAAAGTAAAGTGCTTGCCTACGGATTCCGTAAAGACACAAAAGGGTTTGTTATATTGTACATATTTTCTCAGTTGTATTTTATTTTCCTGATATCAGAAATTGCTGACAACATATGAAGAGCTACTAGGATAGATTTCATAGATTATTTTCGAGAAAAACGTATTTTAGAATTACTACACAATATAAATTAGAATAAACTGTAAGTACAGAAATTCTAAGTTAATAATTATGAAGTATATAAATACATTCCGTATTTCTAATGTATTTATTTGGTATTTTTAATGATGCAATATGTAGTATTATGTATATACCTACTTAGTTTAATATTATGTTAGTCTTCGTTTTTAATATTAAAGTAATTTTACCTATTATCTCGTTGGTTTTTAGCAAGGTAATTATAAATTTATAGTTAAATTCATGAAAGTTCAATTTACCTTAGTAACAAAAACTACATAACTGTATTGGAAATATGCGGAACATAAAGGTAGGTTACAAGTGTGAAGTGGGTCACTATAATGGTCAATGGATGGTATTAAATTTGAATTCAATGATATAATATCATTGTATACGAAAAACGATTCTGATCGAAGACGGTTAGTCACTAGTCAGCCTATAATATCTTACTAAGTAGGTATATTTGATGATGTTATTGTGAACAAAGTAATTAGCAGTGGGTTAAATTCATTTTTCCAAAAAAATTACATTTTAAAACGTCATTGCGTGTATATAAAATATAACAATATATTCTAATAGTTTCATATACCAACAAATAATATTTTTATATTACAACAAAATAACTAAAATCGTTATTCTATGTTTTAATGTGTAATTTCGTCCAAATTTGAATCTAAAATATCTGTAAAAAATAACTGTGTTTATATATTTTTTTGGATTTTTTGGTTACAGTATGAACTATTTATGAGAATCTTTGTTTTAAATTTTCAGTCTTTAGTTATAAAAACTGAACATTTTATAATTTTTTAACTACAATGATTGATAATTTTCGAGATTTTGATAAACGTTGTCAAACTTTGAACTTTAAATGCTTATAAAAAAAAATTGTGCCTTTGTATTTGTAACCTAACCTATAACCGCTCAGAATCTAAAATTACTTGTTTAGACTTTTTGTGAAAATTGTTATGAAAATGTTTAGCGTTCATCGGTTACGTAATTTTTAATTGTAAGGTGCCTACTACCTATACAATATACTAAAGGCCGTTCTTACAATGTCTGGTAAAGTGTCGGTTAACGCTAACCGACTGATAACAGATTTTATTACCGGCAGAATTCTTCCGGTTAAGTGTCGGTTAACTTTAACCGGACGTCGTAAGAACGGCCCTTAATATTATTCTATACGTGAAATGGCGTATGCTATTACATTTATTATTATTATGAATTACGAACGGTTCATTGAAGTTTTCAATTTAAAATAAATAATATATAATTTTAATATTTGACAAGCCACTTATAAGGTACTTACAATACTGGTTTGGACAGTCTCGTCTTATGTGACCAGTTGCCCTGCAATTGTGACAAATTATTGGTGGCCGTCCTCGTGCCCGTCCACGCGTATAATTATGATACGGTGCCGATGATGCTTGTAGCGTAGTTGTCTGGTTTTGGGGTACTTGTGGGACCATTTGTACTATTCAAATAACAATATAACATTTTTATTTTCTAACTTAAATTATAATTATCTACCTATTCAATTTAATTAAAAAAAAATCATATTGTTGAAACTAACCGACTGACACGATTGATCGTAAAGCCTCAGAATAAATTGCAGTTGACATATTATGTTCGGCACTTCCATCACGTCCACCACGTCCCGCCAGACGACCGCCACGACCACGAACACAGCTGGTTTGGTCTCGTTGGTGTACCATTATGGCATTATTTGAATTCGGTGAATGGAATCGGTGGCTAGTTGAGATTCGGGGCCACTTCCCTCTAAACTGATTGACTTGCGTGGTCCTTCAATATTTTATAAACAAGTGCCGATCATTACTTAATAGCATTTTTTTGTAAAATATATTTCATAATTTTTACATATAGGTAAATACATTTAATTCGATGATCAACTTACATATTTCGGTCGCTCACCACTATTCCATACCGCCGTTCATTGTCGGCCAACTGTGACCTTAGCAACGACAAGAATGCGTTATAGTGAATCATTTCAGACTTTGGAAATGTCCAAATTGATGAATTGAGTCCCATCGCCACCGTTTCATTAATTTGGGTTTCCAAAGTCTGAAAAAATGTCACATTATCGCCCTGTATTGCCCATATCACCAAGTTGTCCCTGACTCGGACGACCTGTCCTAGGCGCACCGTAGCCCACAAACTGTTGAAATATACATTGAAGTAAAATACAATTTAACTACAAGTTCAACGTTTTGTATATTGATACAAATTTAAATATAAAAACAATGAAATTACTCTGCCGTTAAAAGTTTATTCGTTAAACATTTTTGAAACATATTGTTCGTTGACGCGCACGTTATTTCGACGGGCAGAATATTATTTATTGACGAAGTCGTCGAAAAATCAAAAAAGTCAATAGACTTCTCTTCTATTGGGGCCGGATGGTGAGATGGTATCTGAAACTACATAAGTTACATATTTTAAGATTATATACTTATATATTGCATTAGGTTTAATGCATATAAATGGTTAATAATAATGAAATCTTACGTTTTCGGGATCGCAAACGGTGATTTCAAATTTCAGCTCATCACTTCCGTCAAACGTGTTCTTTAATAACCCATGGACCTGGTACCAATTCAGGCCATCTAAGGTACAGCCCAGTTTCGGGATTATTAAAGAATTGATTCCTAAATCTTTCAGTCTATCCTTTAACTGGACAAATAGGTGGATTTGTGTTGGTTTGTGGTAGTACAATACCTTAGTAACTGAGTAAAAAATATAAAAATCCTTTTCCTTTTCCTTTTCAACCTTAATCTCTGCTACCCCACCAACTCTGACCCGTTGGTCCAGGAGGACACCAACCTGACCATAGATAGTTCAGCCTGTAACATAAATCAACTTAAGTATAAATGCCATTAAACAATGAAAATAAGTATTCAGACGACATATTTTTAAATTTTAACTCTCAAATATATATTTTTTAACTGTTAAGTACGTAATTTATATTTTTGAAAAATTACTGTAATAGATATGAAATATGTATATTAAACTTACTTAAACTGCACCGCAACACCCCTACTCATCTGCAAATCTTCTGATACGCAGTGGGCTACTGCAAAAGAACCACAAGCTTCACTGATTTCTTCAAATATGGTTTTCGATGATAATACTATTTCAGACATACTGCAAAATGTATAAAGTCACATAAATTACCAAAACCATGAAATCACATAAATTTAATAATATAACTATGTATGTATATTTTTTTTTAGTGAGGAAAAAAGTGGTGGGCGAGCATGCTTGAAAAATCACCAGTAGTTATATACAGTGGCACCGAACTTCTAAATATGAATTACAACACCCCTTAAGCTAATTTGTGGCCACAAAAATCTACAGTACCTATTTCTTCTTTTTACTTAATGTAGGTATTATACGTAATTTTATTTAGTCATATTTTAAGAATTAGAGCCGTGGATCCGTGACCTGAACATAGAATTGGGTACCACTGACTATATAAAAATATAAAAATGAGTTAAAATATTAGTTATATTATGTCAGTTTAAATACATACTTTAGTGATATAAAATGGAATAAAACTTATAGAGCAATATATTAAACTAAGTATACTATATAAAAGTGTAGCAGTGATTAGGTAGATGTATAATCAATACACGGCGAGTAATAACTAGTGAGATCAAAAATGAAAACTCTAAAGGCGTTCAATTACTTGGAGTACGCCCTTTTATAGACTTAGACTTGATCACCCCTCCACTATAATTAAGACGTAGCCACGTAGGTAGGTGTACATGGACACCACTTAGACCGTTGGACAGCTCATTGGTCGACACAAAATATCAGATATAAATATTAAAGAGAGTACCTATAGATGGAACTTTTGGAAAATACGTATACATACATATATTATGTAGGTATATAATTTAATTTGTACCTTTTCAGATAAAGATCTTTTGAATTCGATAGTTTTATTGTAATCGGTATGAGATACATATAAGTGCTAGTGATGTAAAAATACGGTATTTTATTTATTTTTTTTTTGTATTATACCATATTAAACACATTTTATACGGTATAAAATCTTGTATTAAAACTTAAAACTTAAAAGAAATGCAAATTTGAAATTACTGCATATAGAATTCAAACTTGATTACTAAACCATGTCCATTTCCCATTTGAAAATTGAATCTTATCAATAAAAAATAATACAATTATTTAAGTAAAAAATTGTTCATTTCGCAAAATGCATAAAATGTCAATGTTGATTTGTAAACTAATACTGCAAAATATTGTTATTACGTGAATTAAACTATACATGTTCCATCATGCTATATAGAACTACAAGACAAGTAAAATTGTGTTGTTCAATAAGAGTTAAATACTAGAAAACTCGAACCTTAGAATTACTCTCCTGGACAATTTCATAAAAACGATTTAGAAACTTTTCATTCTAAACCCACGAATAATCAATTTGAATTCTGGTGCAAATTGCGTTTCATATTTTTTGATTGTCCATGATGTTGCAAATAGCAAATTACATAGTTCCTATAAATTATAATATTTATTTTGGGACAAATTACAAACGCTATTTAAAAATGTTGGTGATTATTGCACTTATGGTTTACCTATATTTTGGGTAAATTGTTGTACCATTTAGCGAAAAAAAAAGGTTTATACACATTTAATACCATTGTATAAAATAATTCTATACAGCGTGTATAATACCATGACTATAATACGATATTATACATTATATTATACAATATTATACAAATTTACATCATCACTACATATAACAGATCGATATCCACATAATTATTATTTTCAATGTGAGTTCTATATTATAATATTATTATGAAGGAAAATTACACAAATATTTCCCAATTATTTAATTCATGATCATTTTAAAGTTATTCTCAATTGTTTTAAAACATACATGATCGGTATACTTGGACTTGAAATAAAATTAAGTACAACATATACATTATTAATATTGTAGGTCTGTATGTAGGTAATTAAGAAAGTTTGAAGTTTGAAAGGTGACAAAATCTATAGAGAATGAATTTGAATATTATTTTGTTTTACATTTAAGATTCTGAGCGGAGCGATGAATGGTATTGATTTTACAAAGATTTTTTTTAAATTTTTAAATTTATTTTTTTATTTTTGTGTCTGTCAGTGAAATTTGCATGTATCTACAGTTATTCGTTTTTGAATTACAACAAAATAAGGAAATCGCTACATGAGACATCGAGTAAATATCCAATATCGTAAAAATATGAAATTCAAACGCTCATAAAAATTTAATTTGACTTTCTTATATATTCCTATTTCGGGCATTGTCAGTTTTCAATTTTTTTAGTTTTTTTCTTCTTTGAATATCAATAAAGTTTTATCTGTTGCGCCAAAAAATGTAAAAACTTAATACGAGGCCGCTGATATATTTTTACATATAAAAGCATATCAATAGCAATTGAAAAATATTAAAAATACATAGGTACAAATTTTTATTATAAGCATTTAAAGTTCAAATTTTGACAAAATTTATCAAAATCTCAAAAACTATCAATCATTGTAGTTAATAAATTATAAAATGTTCAGTTTTTATAGGTAAGGATTGACAATTTAAAACATGATTCCACGTAAGTAGTTAATTCTGTTACCAAAAAATCTAAAAAATACACAAGCACAGTTTATTTTTATCGTCATTTTAAGTTCAAATTTGGACGAAATTATACATATTAAAAAACCTAGAATAACTATTTGTATAATATCATTCGTGGGTACTTGAAACTTCTATATGTGTACTACTATATATCTATGATAGTATCACGGTTTTTTGTTGATGTATAACGTGTTATAACTTATAAGTAACCAATGGATATTGTGATATGATTAATTTGGAATTTATTATAGGTAGGTACCTATTTTAGGTAAAATTTTTTTTCAGTATATAATATGTGTTATACCTAGGCTGACATACCGTCTCCGCTCAGAATCGTTTTTCTTATACAATGATATTATATTATATTATATTATATCATTGAATTCAAATTGAATACCATCCATTATACAGCGACTCACTTGTAACCTACTGTACAGCAGAGCACCTTTTTTTAGGTTTTTTTTCTATAGATGTGTATACAATTTGATTTTTTGGGTAAAAAGCTTGAAAATTTAATAAAAGGCTCCTAATATATTGTTACAATAATACTTGAAAAATATTAAAAATCTGAAGTCACAAATTTTTTTTGTAAACGTTTAAAGTTCAAATATTGACAAAATACGTAAAAATCACCAAAATGTGCAAATTATTTTGAGTTATAAATTCATAAAAATTTTTCTTTTTAAATCTAAGATTTGAAAATGTAATAATAGATTTCTCATAAGATGGCCTACCATTATCAAAAAAAAATGTCTAATACCAAGTCAAATTATATTTTTATGAGCGTTTAAAGTTCATATTTTTACAACATTTGATATTTACTCGATTTCTTATGTAGCGATTTTCTTATTTTGTTGTAATTGAAAAACGAATAACTATAGATGCTTGAAACTTTAACTGAATGTTTGTATTATCATTTTCTATACACCAATGGTACACGGAATGTCAATCGCCAAATTATTTCTATGGTCAGAATTAGGTACCGAAGTAGATATAGATGACTCGTTTTGTCGATTGTCAGACCCAAGTTTTGGCTTCTTACTGAAGAATGTGTCTATTTTACTTACCGACCCGCTATTTCTTTTAAATGAATCACCCTACATAAAATACAGAAAGACATTTCAAACATTTTAGACTAAGATAAAATGAAAATACAAAAAAAAAACTATAGTTAAATAGGGAATGCAAAATGTTTTTACAGAGGGATATTTATAATTTTAGTTATTTTTGTATACCTATAGATTATAAGTAATTTTCTATTGGTATAGAATAAATAATATATCAGAAATCAAAATCACTACTACTTATTAAATATTTTATCATTTAACAAATATAAAAAATTATATTTATAATATTATTTTTTTTTTATTGTGCTACCAATATTAAACTATACCAGTAACAACCTATTTAAGTATTAACAATCAACCATGTTGCCGTTGAATATGATAATTATAAAATAAAAGTCCTTGATATATGACGAGAAACTTAAGATTTATGAATCAAAAAAGTGAATTTGCATTATAAATAAAGATATATTAAAAATGTTATAAAAGTATTGCACACTTTTTAATTTGTTGCTACACATTTCATAATTGCTACTGCATTGCGGGATCACATTTTACGTATAGCTTGTATTTTTTCTATAATTTTAATCAAATATAATTAACTTATAATTAACGACGATAAGATATCGCTATAAACATATTATGAATTAGTTCGTACTTTATTTTAATAATGAAAAATAAATAATTTGGAATTTAAAATTTAAAATTTAAAATTCAATTATATGTTAGTATGTTATAAATTATATAAACTTAATTTTTATACAAAATACATGTTTTTACTACGGATGTGTCCCTCAAGATTTCTAGAAAATAATAGGTCCACTGCATAAAAAGGTTGTAGAATCCTAATATAAACTATTAGCTTATACATTATAATCATTTGAATAATAAAATGCTCGATTGAAACTTCATTCGAATAGGAATTGTATCGATTATTACAATAATTATAATTATATACTCACCATAGTTTTTTTTCGTACTCAACGACTGATGCACGTGTCCCAGACGTTCACAGCAAAATAAAATGATTCAATAAGCAGTCAAACATTTAACGTTGTATATGGTATTTTCAATTTTGTAACAAATTATTAGAACGCAAATTAGTGATTAGAGGTGGCTGCGTCGCCATTCCAAGTACCTATATAATATATAGACGTACGCGTGTCGTGTGTAGACTGTAGGTAAGTGTACCTTATATTATTATACGGGTTGAAAATAATATTTCCGTCGAACGACGAACATATTCTTTATCTTTCCGCCGATTTCTTATTAATTATCGTCAATCGTCAATCAGTTTATAAACACTATTAATATTCTTAGAAAATATATGTTTATTGTAAATCATGATTTTATGAACAAGTGGTGATTTAGTTTAAATGCAGGCTGTAGCCTGTAGGTACCTATATAATATAATATATAAATAAAATATGTTCTATAT